GGACTGCGTTTCCTCGAGTTTCTCCTCGGCGACCTCACACTGGCGGAGCAAAGTGCCGTTCTCGGTCATAAGGGAGTAGATACGCGAGGAAGCCCGCTCGAGGGCCGCACGAGCGTTGGCGGCCTGCTCGTTCAACTCACGGAGAGCAAGGTCCCGAGTGGAGGGATCTTCCTTGCCAAAGCCTGAGGCTACAATGGAACTCGCCTGCAAAGAAAGAATGAGTGTTAGTACGAACTTACGTCAATTGAATAAGTTGATGAACGATCGAAGGATCGCATACCTGCGCCAAGCACAGAGCCAACTTGGCTCGCTGAGAAGAGTGAGGGAGGGATTGGAGGAAAGCTGCATCACCGGGGGCCTGAGCCTTGGACAGTTGGTGGAGCACGAGGTCGGCCGAGCCCTCGGGGTCCGAGGAAGAGAATAGGCTAGGCAACTCTAGGCGGGCCCTTTTCGGGGGAGGAGTAGAACCGCTCAGAGCGAGACGCTTGGAGCTTGTCTCGGCAGACTCTCCTTGAGCTTCCTCGAGTCCGGGATCGCCGCTCGGAAATATAGCCAGGTCCCGCACCTCGGTCTCGCTGTCTAGAAGTTCGATGACAGCTTCGGAACCGGGAAGAGGTAGACCGGAGGAAGGAGATAGAGGGTGCAGAGGGGAATTGGAGCTATGGGAAGGGAGTTCGGGCCCGCGGGGGGAAACCTCGGGCGCGACCTCAGCTGCCGCTATCGGGCTCGAGGCCCCAGCATCTTTCTTCTCGGCCTCAGCCAGTTCCAAAAGCATATCAATCATCATCTCGGCTAAAAAAAAAAAAAAAAAAAAAAAGAGAGAGAGTCAGAACGCAAACATAATAATAATAATAAAAAAATAATACAAGCAAACACACACAACTGCCAAGAGGCATCGGAAGTCTGGACGGGAGAAAGTGAAAAGAGTAGGTATACCCCAAGGGCGACGATCAAAGGAAGGGATCTGCCACAAGCCGGCACGAGAAAAAAGGGGGAGACTGTTAATAATTTTCTCAACATTCCAGGCACGGGGGCGAACGCGAGCCAATAGGCCTGCGATCTCATCCTCGAAGCTCATGCCGAGGGCAGCACGTTTAGGAGATTTAGGAGGGGGAGTGGAGTCAAAAGGCCAGGCCGAGGGCGGGCGGACGAAGAAGAAGCGGCGTTGCCAAGAATCAATCTTCGTAACCAGCCCGGCGAAGAGGCGACCTATTCGCGAAGATAAATGATAATAGCCGGAGGAGGACCGGTTGTGGGTAAAGATAGTGAAAAATAATTCTGGTCGGGGGTCTACGCCGGTACTGACGCAGACTATATAGAAACACGACATGAACTTTATGGCGTTAGGATGGAAAAGTTGGAGGGGGATCTTGTATAGGCTGCCTACGTCAACAAAGAAAGGGTGCAAAGGAAGAGTAAGGCCGGCCTTGAATTGATCCAAGTACCAAGTGAGATAGCCCGGAGGGGGACTAGAAGGAGACTGGGAACGGGAGGGGACTAAAAGATGAAAGGAAGCGTCCACGCCCTGGGTGGCGTAGAGAGCTTCGAGGTCAAATTTGTCCACCAGAGAATGGGTTGGTTTCTCTAGGGATTTCTTTTTATTGGGTTGAGGGGAGGAAGAAGAAGGAGCTGTCTTCTTCTTCGGGTTCGGACGACGCCCGCCCCGGCGATTAGACCGCACGGGCGCAGGAAGGGGGTCAGTCCGCCCCGAAGAAGAAGAAGAAGAAGTGCCTGGGGAAACCATGGGATGGGCAATGGTGAAGAAAGCAAGAAAATCAATAACAAAGGAGAAAGGGAGAGCAGAAAGTACCTGGGGAATAGGGAGCACACTAGCAATAAGGGAATGGAAGGAGAATAAAGAGGGTATGGGGAAGGAGAGAAATAGCAGGAAAGGGGGGCTTTAAGTCCAGAAGGCGGGCCCCAACGACAGTCGAAAAGACACCCGTCATTAAAAGGCACAAGAAACGAAGAGCCCCCACAGGGATTGACGGCTGCATAGGGAAGTGCGCTAAGCAGGAAAACGAAACGATCGGATGGGGTAGATGAAAGGACGTGCCGCGGACGCGAGGAGGTAAAGAACTCCGAGCCCTAAAAATATAGGACTCGGAGTGGGGGACTAGTTGATCCGGATCGAGGCCAGGATTACGAAGCCCAAATACGTTAGCCCACTAAAACGGTCCAGGAATCGCTTAACCAGCCCATATGCGAAGGAGAAGCCCAAGGAGGAAAGTAAAGCCCAAAAGAGAGGAAGAGGTGGGGCCCGCATGGGGATTCGGCGGGCGAGAGTTATCCGCAGTTCCCGACCAGGAAGAGGAAGGTCGGGAAAAGTGGGGAAAATTG